CCACTTACTGACTACTCTGTGGCTGAAGAAATACTTCCTAACATCCCTGTGATTCAACTGTGTCTTCAGCTTCCAACTGTGTCCCCTTGTTACTGTGTCCAATCTCTGGAACATCCTGTCTTTGTCCACCTTGTCAATTCCTCTCAGTATTTTGTATGTTGTTATCATGTCCCCCCTATCTCTCCTGTCCTCCAGTGTCGTCAGGTTGATTTCCCTTAACCTCTCCTCGTAGGACATACCTCTTAGCTCTGGGACTAGTCTTGTTGCAAACCTTTGCACTTTCTCTAGTTTCTTCACGTGCTTGGCTAGGTGTGGGTTCCAAACTGGTGCCGCATACTCCAATATGGGCCTAACGTACACGGTGTACAGGGTCCTGAATGATTCCTTATTAAGATGTCGGAATGCTGTTCTGAGGTTTGCTAGGCGCCCATATGCTGCAGCAGTTATTTGGTTGATGTGCGCTTCAGGAGATGTGCCTGGTGTTATACTCACCCCAAGATCTTTTTCCTTGAGTGAGGTTTGTAGTCTCTGACCCCCTAGACTGTACTCCGTCTGCGGCCTTCTTTGCCCTTCCCCAATCTTCATGACTTTGCACTTGGTGGGATTGAACTCCAGGAGCCAATTGTTGGACCAGGTCTGCAGCCTGTCCAGATCCCTTTGTAGTTCTGCCTGGTCTTCGATCGAGTGAATTCTTCTCATCAACTTCACGTCATCTGCAAACACACATGTGTGTGTGTGTGTGCGTGTGTTAGTGCCTGACTTACACCTCTTTGAGATTACCTATTTTCACTTAATAATGTGCACTCAGTATCACGTCTACTACGTTTAGTTAGTGCAGTAATTTCTTAAAGTTTGCTTGGAAGGTAGTACGTACCTCTTGTTAGATCCTATTAAATAAATCCGTCACCCACGTATGGAACATTATCATCTTGTATGATTTCAGTACCGTTTTTCCTCTCCTCGCAACAACGGCTTCAGGCTTTTATTGTCGACAGTGTTGAGATATCTTTCCTATTTTGTTCTTTTAGCCTCGTTTTATCTTCTTTTTTTATATGTAATCTGCATATGCATATATCTACTGTTTGATGTCTCTGAGTATCTTTGTGGGTAAACATATCCTATACACAGAACCTTCTTGGCTTCATATTATTCATTTAGTTTCTCATCTATGTGATTTATCCACTTTTCTTTAATGGATTTTCAGAATTTTCAAGAGTAACACTTGTTAGTGAGATAGACCTGTTAAAATGTCACCAATATCAACTTTTCGTATATTTGTTTATAATATTCTTCTGTTCGCCAGTTTATCTTATATTGAAATTTCAAGCATTTTCTTCGTTGGCTTGTTGAGCTCTGCTGCACTATCTTCAATTTTTTTTTTTTTTTGGTAATTGTGCGCTAGAAGGTTGATTGTCAGTCTCTGATTTACTCTCGTTTTATTATATGTTAAGGATAATCGTTCATTATTAAGGTATCTTCTTCTAGAGACACTACCTGATAATTTTCTTAGATTTTCTTAGTTCTACGCTTCTTTCAAAGTTCTTTTTCCGTTTATTCCATTAGTTACATTCATTTCTTGAGTTTCTGTGTGGAGTCCCAAGATTTTATTATTTTCATGACTTCAACAACCTTTGGACCATTGAGTTTTGAATTGTCTCCTTTTACTTAGTAGAATGATTATTATTATTATTATTAATTATTATCACAACTAAGCACTAAACCCACAAGGGTCATACATAGGTGATTAGAATGATCAACTTGTCTACGATTTCATGTATGTTTCAACTTTTTTGTATTATATTTTATTGACATATTTATCTCGAAGACTTCTGCCAAATTTCTGTTGTCTTAATTTGTGACTTAGGTCTGCAAACTCTCCTTCACTGTAAACTAGTCAATTTTTTTGGTCCCTGTGTCTTTTATAAGCAATAGCTTTTTTATCATATCAAATATACCCTAACTTTCCTTGTTAAATTTCTCTCCCGTGCGTTGTTGAATATAGGTGTGTGCAGAAGATGAGGAGGTGCCTGTACCTCCTCCCATGGCAGACATTAGTCTGAGACACTCCCACGGTAGGGAGCCAAGGCCACCTCTTGGAAAAGGCCCGGGCCGGACAATTATACCGGCGAATCTAAAACAGAACTGAATGGTGTATACAATAGCTCTTCAGCATATCAAATATTTGCTGTTTTTTCTTGTTAAATTCCTCTCCCGTGCATTGTTGAGTATGGTTGTGTGACTTAATAATTATGATTCCTCTTTGCGTGTTGGATTTTAACTTATTTATTCCCATTTTGCTTTTTATTATTAAAAAAGGTATGTTCTGTAGTTTTGTGTTTCTGAGGCCACATAACGAGAGTATTTTAAATATATATATATATATCAAATATATATATATATATATATATATATATATATATATATATATATATATATTATATATATATATATAAAATATTATATATAAAATATATATATATATATATGTCGTGCCGAATATGTAAAACTGGTCAATTAGCAAAAACTCATTTAAAATTAAGTCCTTTCTAAAATTTTCTCTTATGCGTTTAAAGATATTTTTTTTCATTAATGTTAATGTAAAAATTTTTAATTTTGCACCAAAAGAATCTTAGAAAACTTACCTAACCTTATTATAACAAGAACAGTTTATTTTAGCCCAACCCAACTAAATATATTTTAGATTTGTTTACAATAATTTAATACTAAACAAACAGAGTGAAATACATTTTTTTCGTTAGGTTCAGAATGATTTTGGCGACATTATTGCATACACAAATTTTCGCTTGTCCTATATGGCAAGATGAGCGTTGCTATTTAAGCCAAGATCGCAAGTTCTGCTTATTCGGCACGACATATATATATATATACAATGTCAGACGGGCGATCTTAACCATGCAGGACAAATCCCCCCCCGTGGCTTGTCCTATATATATATAAATTATATAATATTATATATATATATATATATATATAATATATATATATATATATTAAAATATATAATAAAATATATATATATTATATATATATATATATAATGTGATAATGTGAGTAGTCACGAAAGCGCTTGGAATTTCTCTATTCTTTCGGAGTGGTTTTTTTTGCATATTCTGAAATCACCTGTTTACTGTGATCTTATTGCATATATATATTATACATGTATTAAATATATATATATATATATATAAAATATATATATATTATATATATATATATTATATATATTTTATATATATATAAACATGTCCCCATAATCACGCGTGTTTATTACAACATTGCAGTTGTTTCATTTTTGTTTCCCCATTTTTTACCTCTTTTTCTCTTCTTTTCATATATGATTTAAAATCTCCATTACCGCTCTACGTATAAAGTTAACAAAACCCAACAAGTCTGGTTTATCATTACTCTGCTGCAGTTTCAATACTCTGCTTCTCCAGTCTCCAATATTTATTTAGGGGAGCAAAAAATTTTTTTTTTTCTCAGTTCAACTTGTTTTCTCCCCCATTTTTTTTTTTTTTTTTTTTTGCGTAAATTGTAGTTTTATTGTCTTTTTGGTTAGATATGTCTGTAATTTGGAAATCCTTTACCAGTAATCTAAAACCAAGACAACAGTGCATTAGTGTTCGCAATAAAGCTAACAGAATTCTTGGCTTCATATCTAGAAGTATAAATAATAGAAGTCCTCAGGTTGTTCTTCAACTCTATATATCCTTGGTTAGGCCTCATTTAGTTCTGGTCACCGTATTACGGAATGGATATAAATGCTCTGGAAAACGTACATAGGAGGATGACAAAGATGACCCCATGTATCAGAAATCTTCCCTATGAGGATAGACTAAGGGCCCTGAATCTGCACTCTCTCGAAAGGCTTAGAATTAGGGTGGATATGATTGAGGCGTATAAATGGAAAACAGGAATAAATAAAGAGGATGTAAATAGCGTGCTGAAAATTTCCAGCCAAGGACAGGACTCGCAGCAATGGCTTCAAGTTGGAAAAATACAGTTATTCAGAGTAAAACGTTGTGTAGTTTTAAAAATAGGTTAAATACATGAGTGGGTGTGGGTGGGTGCGAGTTGGACCTGACTAGCTTGTGCTGCTGGGTCTGGTGCCGTGCTTCTTCGTTGAGTGGTGGTGACCAGACTGGGTAGGTCGTTGGGCTTATCCGGGGTGGTGGGGGTCATTTGGTTAATCCGGGGGGGCGGACATGGACCTGCTCCGCAATGGTCAGTAGGCCTGTTGCAGTGTTCCTTCTTTCTTATGTTCTTATAAAACAGTGATTTAGGTCTGATATATTTTTCTGTTATCTCCACATAGATACTAAACCACTGTCGAGATCCTTTGCAAACTTGCAACCATGTTTTTAATAAAGTTTAAAATTTATTATAATGAATTTGTCGTCGACGCTTAGAGGTGAGAAGTACAGTAGTAATTATGTACGGAGGGAGAGAGAGAGAGAGAGAGAGAGAGAGAGAGAGAGAGAGAGAGAGAGAGAGAGAGAGAGAGAGAGAGAGAGAGAGAGAGACTTATGCATGTCCTCTGTTATTCGCGTACTCGGAATTCAAATTAATTCTATTTATGTATCGCGAATAGTTTACTCATGTTTTGGCATTCACCTGAAGAAACATTATAATGTGGTCTACAGGCTGTTAGAAATGTTTCACGTTTTTGTCACTGTCACTTACCATAGAATATTCGTATATTGATGCAAATTAAGTATACAGACAGACTGCATCTAAAAATAGGCTCTATTGCCAATGAAAAGATCAATAGTTTATACTGCACTCCTCCTCCAACCGTTTGTCTTTTCCTTTCTTCCATTCCTCCATCTACCCCTTTCTATCCCTCTACCTCCATTCCTCATTTTCTTTCTCCTCTCTCTCCACTTGCTCTGTCTCCCTCCATATTTCTTTCTGTACTCTCTACTTATATAAAAAACTGAGAATGTTTAAAATTTTCTTCCCCCTGCTTCCACTACCAGGCGTTGAGGAAACAGGTGTTTGGCTCTGCTGAACTACGGAGTCCGATGGAGAGTGAGTGGCTGGGTCAGTCCTTCTGTTTCAACGACGCCGACACGCCTCAGAGCTACAGTCTGAAGATGCCCAAGGTCACCAACAAGGGTTTGGCTATGTGTGTCCAGGGCTTTATCCTCAAGCACTTGCTCTTCACCAGACGAGGTCCTAGAGTGGTGACTGACCCCTCTACGTAAGTGTGTGTGTGTGTGTGTGTGTGTGTGTGTGTGTGTTGTGTGTGTGTGTGTGTGTTGTGTGTGTGTGTGTGTGTGTGTGTGTGTGTGTTGTGTGTGTGTGTGTGTGTGGTGTGTGTATGTGTGTGTGTATGTGTGTATGTGTGTATATGTGTGTGTATGTGTGTGTGTATGTGTGTATGTGTTGTGTATGTGTGTGTGTGTATGTGTCTGAACCTGTTTGCAGCTAGTCACCAAAGCTATGCTAGTGATGTTCTGTCTTTCGGAAAATACCCTTACATACTTTTTCAATTTTCTATATTATAATCATAAAGCACTAAACCCAAGCGTCATACAGCGCTGCTCATTTTTTTTATTAGTTATAAAACTTACTTCCTCCTGGTTTCATTCATTTTATTTCTGCAGATGTTGCGTCTTCCAAAATTTAAGATATAGTTTACTTTGAATAACTAAAGTGTAAATGAACGCTTGTCAATGTTCACTATTAACCCACATGTAGTCATAATCTCAGGAGATTAATCTTTTGAGTTTCTGTCTCCATGTGGGATATTACTGGGCAAAGTTTGCTTTGTTTTCTCTGATCCTCTCCAAAATGTGGAATAATTTTTTAGCTGTTGTAGTATCTGGTATTCAAGTATAATGCATATCCTATAGAAGTATCAGAATCCAGTGTGTCCAGCATCTCTTCCACTATTCCACAATTTTTCTTCTTGGAACTAGTCTTTATTTTCAGCGAGTTTTCCTAACAGACTTTGCTTTAAATGTTAGACGGTACAAATATAGGTTTTGTCTTCATTTTCAATATCTACTTTGTGTGTCCGCCAACTGCTCCAAGAGCTGTTCTCGCAGTGTGGTACTTTCTGTTGACCTTTAGGTTACTGCGGGCGACGACAAGAGCGCAGGAGGAGGCGCTAGTAGGAGCCCTCAGTGACATCCTGTGGAAGGCCGGGGAGCGACAACACGCAGTCCTTTGTCTAACACAGGAGAACGTCTACGTCAACGACTCGTCGTCCTACCAGACCGATGGATGCACCGAGAGGGTACGACACACCAAGGACATGTATGAAATACTGCGGAAGCGTGGTTCGCAGTGGAACTTAATGAATACAATTGTCTTCCTAGCGTAGCGCCTAGCGTCAGTTTCGTACCGTTCATTATTTCGGTAATGTTTAATTTCGAGAGTTAACAATAATAATGCTAACAATAATAATACTACTACTAATAATAAAAGTGGTTTATATTGAACAAACGTCCAATAGATGTACGTCCAATGAATGATACAAGAAAGGAACACACATATTGATAAGCCATGTATTTAATATCAGATGTTTTACGTTAATCAAACAAGCCGAAATGTCCTAAAAAATATAACTTTTTGAAAAAATTCTCTTATGGATATATAATATATTTATGTCAGCTACATGCTACATTAATTTTGAAATTTCTTTTAACTTAACTACTGCTAAGTTTGTTAAAAATAAGCAGTGTATTTTAGAAAGTTTCCGTGTGTATTTATTGCACTCCTTTTCAATAGGGATACTTTGCTCCGTCTGCTGCTTGAATATGGGGGAACTCTCAGTGTTCAGATTTTGAAGGAGTCTTTCTGGCATTTTCCAGGTGTAAACTATATCATTCTTGTCTGGGAGAACAACTTGAGAGGTTTCAGGTGTTCCCAACTGTTTAAGTATTTCACTGAACTGAAAAGTTTAGCGAAAACTTTCAGTACATAGGCAACAACTTTCGAATATTTATAAGCCTCAGCAAGTCATCAATGATCTCATTTATAAAAAAAAAAAAACGTTGTTAGCCATTTCAATGCTTACTCACAGGTTACTTTGTGCATTAAAACTGAAGACCCAATCAGCTCATTCTCGACTGAACGTTTGCCATCATAATAACTCGCCGGGCAGCAATTAGCGGACGGAGTACTGAGCCTTCACCTCTCGCAATGAATTAATTTTATGTAACGATCTTTATAAAACCTTGAAAATTTGCATGAAGTACGGCACCCTACTTTTAGCTTCATATTGCCTCCTGCCCTTAATCATGAATCACGTCTATCATAATTTTTGAGTTATCTCGTGAGGTGCGTGCGGGCGTATGATTACCTATTCGTAGAGAACAAAAAGGCACAATACCGTGACTGGAACAATACACAAATAACCCGCACACAGGAGAGAGATGTTTACGACGACGTTTCGGTCAGACTTGGACCATTTACAAAATCCCTTATACAAGAGTGAGGGAGCCAGTCTATTTTGTGTTAGTGTGACTTTGTAAATGGTCCAAGCTGGACCGAAACGTCATCGTATGCTTTTTTCTCCTGCGTGCGGGCGTGTGATCAGTTTTTTTGTAGTCAGAGAAGCAGGCAGAGTTGTGCTTGTGGGGTTCTATCACTGTTCAGGAAGGAATATTTGCTACTCTGTTTCCCGTACCACTTTCTTCAGGTTAAAACTGTGTCTTTATATTCTTTCTGTTAACAATACGAACAATCCTTAAATATCTTTATTTCATTCCCTGGGTACTAGTCTTCTCACTTCCTCTTATCAATCAGCGAGGGCATTTCCAGTTTTTCTTAACTCTAAGAGCCATTTACCTGCATGTCTTTGAACATTACCTATTTGGCACAGCTCAGAGGGAACACTGATTACGTCATACATCTCCAATTTAACAAACTATCATTTATCAATTAGCTTTGCTAGTTGTAGCTGTATAGTACGTCAAGTTTGTTAATATGTTAAATATTTTTTTAAAGCAGTTTTTTCTATGTAAATTGTAAGTTTTAATTATTTTATTATATACGTATAAGCAGTTCCTCATTGCCTAATCAAATTATTCTTTGTCAGTTGTGTTGTTTAAGAATGTGTGTGTGTACTCGCCTAATTCACGTAATTGTGGGTGCAGGGGTCGAGACTCAGCTCCTGGCCCCGCCTCTTCACTGGTCGCTACTAGGTTCTCTCTCTCCCTGCTCCATGAGCTTTATCAAACCTCGTCTTAAAACTATGTATGGTTCCTGCCTCCACTACATCAATTGCCAGACTATTCCACTTCCTGACAACTCTATGACAAAATAAAGACTTCCTAACATCCCTTTGACTCATCTGAGTCTTCAACTTCCATTGTTACCCCTTGTTTCTCTCTCCCCTCTCTGGAAGATCCTATCTTTGTCCACCTTATCTACTCCTCGCAGTATTTTGTATGTCGTTATTATGTCTCCCCTAAACCTCCTGTCCTCCAGTGTCGTCAGGCCGATTTACCTTAACCAATCTTCGTAGGATATTCCCCTTAGCTCTGGAACTAACCTTGTTGCAAACCTTTGCACTTTCTCTAATTTCTTGACGTGCTTGGTCAGGTGTGGATTCCAAACTGGTGTTGCATACTCCAGTATGGGCCTGACGTACACGGTGTACAGAGTCTTGAACGATTCCTTACTGAGGTATCGGAATGCTATTCTCAGGTTTGCCAGGCGCCCATATGCTGCAGCAGTTATCTGGTTGATGTGTGCTTCCGGAGACGTGCTCGGTATTATACTCACTCCAAGATCTTTCCCCTTGAGTGAGGTTTGCAGTCTTTGGCCGTCTAGCCTATACACTGTCTGCGGTCTTCTTTGCCCTTCCCCGATCTTCATGACTTTGCATTTGGCGAGGTTAAATTCGAGGAGCCATTTCCTTGATCACGCATCCAGTCTGTCCAGGTCTCTTTGTAGTCCTGCCTGATCCTCATCTGATTTAATTCTCCTCATTAACTTCGCATCACCTGCGAATAGGGACACATCTGAGTCTGTCCCTTCCATCATGCCATTCACATATAACAAAAATAGCACTGGTCTTAGGACTGACCCCTGTGGGACCCCGCTCGTCACAGGCGCCCATTGTGATACCTCATCACGTACCATGACTCGTCGTTACCTGTCAGGTAGTCTCTGATTCACTGCAGTGCCCTTCATGTTATACCTGTCTGATCCTCTATCTTCTGCGAGGAACTGTGCCGAAGGCCTTCTTACAGTCCAAGAAAATGCAATCAACTCACCCCTCTCTCTCGTTTCTTCTGTTACCTTGCCATAAAACTCCAGTAGGTTTGTGGCACAGGATTTGCGTTCTATGAATCCGTGCCGGTTGTCGTTTATAATCTTGTTCCGTTCCAGGTGCCCCCACCACTCTCCTCCTGATAAACTTCTCCATGACTTTGCATACTATACACGTCAGTGATGCCGGTGTATGGTTTAGTGCCTCGTTTCTGTCTCCTTTCTAAAATAGGGACTACATCTGCCATCTTCCATACCTCAGGTAGTTGCCCAGTTTCAAGGGATGTGTTGAAAAATGTGGTTAGAGGCACACACAGCTTCTCTGCTCCTTCTCTAAGGACCCACGGAGAGATGTCCGATCCCACCGCCTTTGAGGTATGAAGGTCACTGAACAGCTTCTTCACCTTCTCCTCGGCTGTATTTCATCCAACAATTGTTGGTCTGTCCTTTGGTGATGTACGCCTCTGTTCTATCTTCTCAGACTCATTTATGTCTCCACTGTAAATACTGCCTTAAATTTCGTGTTGAGCTCCTCACGAACATTATGTTTTTCAGCAACAACATTTAACTCCAAGCTTCTAATTTCAGATTCACACCTTCGAGTTCAAAAAGCAAGATGAGCTTACCTTCAATCTTAAGAAGTATCTCTTTGAGGTGAGGCTACACTAGTAACAAGACTTTGCAGTATGAGAGGGTGTCATATGGAAGCTAACTCACGCACGCGTGTACACAGGGTGTGCATACACGTACCTATACTTAATCTCACACACACACACACACACACACACACACACACACACACACACACACACACACACACACACACACACACACACACACACACACACAACACACACACACACACACAAACACACACACCACACACACACACACACACACACACACACACACACACACACACACACACACACACACACACATACACACGTCTTGAGATTTAAATGTACGTGATAGTAAATAAAACAATAATAATGAGAGCTTGGCATATAAGAAATACCCCTCAATGTGTTAGGTAAGACACATATGCAACAGTTAGGTATCTTTATTTCGAAACGTTTCGCCTACACAGTAGGCTTCTTCAGTCGAGTACAGAAAAGTTGATAGAAGCAGAAGATACTTGAAGACGATGTAATCAGTCCATCACCCTTAAAGTTTTGAGGTGGTCAGTCCCTCAGTCTGGAGAAGAGCATTGTTCCGTTGTCTGAAACAATATGAAGTTGAAGTGACAGGATGGAGCCTTTATATAGTGCCAGGAGGTGAACGTAGGTTGCCTTGGGAGGCAGGTCCCTCTCAAACCCAGCCGTTCTCACTAGTAGAGGTCGAAGTTGATGGTCTGTACCAAGATACCCTTGTGTTGCAGTGTCTGACAGAATGAACATTAAAATGGTATAAAAATACCGACAGATTGTTAGGTAAGACACATATGCAACAGTTAGGTATCTTTTTATTCGAAACGTTTCGCCTACACAGTAGGCTTCTTCAGTCGAGTACAGAAAAGTTGATAGAAGCAGAAGATACTTGAAGACGATGTAATCAGTCCATCACCCTTAAAGTTTTGAGGTGGTCAGTCCCTCAGTCTGGAGAAGAGCATTGTTCCGTTGTCTGAAACAATATGAAGTTGAAGTGACAGGATGGAGCCTTTATATAGTGCCAGGAGGTGAGACTGAGGGACTGACCACCTCAAAACTTTAAGGGTGATGGACTGATTACATCGTCTTCAAGTATCTTCTGCTTCTATCAACTTTTCTGTACTCGACTGAAGAAGCCTACTGTGTAGGCAAAACGTTTCGAAATAAAGATACCTAACTGTTGCATATGTGTCTTACCTAACAATCTGTCGGTATTTTATACCATTTTAATGTTCATTCTGTCAGACACTGCAACACAAGGGTATCTTGGTACAGACCATCAACTTCGACCTCTACTAGTGAGAACGGCTGGGTTTGAGAGGGACCTGCCCTCCCAAGGCAACCTACGTCTCACCTCCTGGCACTATATAAGGCTCCATCCTGTCACTTCAACTTCATATTGTTTCAGACAACGGAACAATGCTCTTCTCCAGACTGAGGGACTGACCACCTCAAAACTTTAAGGGTGATGGACTGATTACATCGTCTTCAAGTATCTTCTGCTTCTATCAACTTTTCTGTACTCGACTGAAGAAGCCTACTGTGTAGGCGAAACGTTTCGAAATAAAGATACCTAACTGTTGCATATGTGTCTTACCTAACAATCTGTCGGTATTTTATACCATTTTAATGTTCACCCCTCAATGTACTCAAGAGAAGCGATGATTAGCCTGAGTATAAACCTTACTGTTTTAAGTTACTATCCACTTTAAAACAACGTGGTACAGAGGATATTAACATTAGCATTAAGTTGCTGAGTAGTGTTGGACTAAATGCGTTTACCTTATTTTTCTGTATTTGTTCGACAGTTCCTGGCAGAGGATGGCAACGGGTTGCTGCTCTTCCTGTACAGTGTCGTCCTCTCACGGGGTTTTGCAAAGTACGTTAACTATTTAATTTTTCTTTATCTGACTTTCCCATCAGCCAGTTTGAAAAAAAAAAATTATTAGAGTGTTGGGAGTGTTAAAGCTGGTTGAACCAGAATAAACTCATCAAATACACGGTGACTGATCTGACTTTCTGCCTGAAAGATAATGCAAGCCTCGACCAGCACCAAGCTGAGTTAGGTAAGGTTTGCCAGGAAACAATACAAGAGTTTCCTGACGCGGGTAATTAAGGTTATAATTATAACCATTGTGACTAGTAGTAATGGGGAAGATATATAACTGAATAAATCATTTTTTATATCGAGGCTATCTGCTGAGGACTAAATATAATTTTTCTCTTTCTAATTTCCTGTATGGAGTTCAAGTTAAGATAGCAGAGCAGAAATACCTCTAGTGCCTTCTACTCTGTTCGTGCAGGATAGTCGATGACATGGACGGAGAAGAGAATAGTCTGTTGCAGAGCAACGGGACCATCCACCCGGCACTGGCTACCTTGCTACTAACGGGGCGCGCTACTCTCTACCTCCACAACGGTATCATCTACGAGGGCTCTGAAGATACCATGGTTAGTAGACAACATAACTTAGTTTCCTTACTAGATTAGATTTCCAACGTCAGTTTCCTAACGTTTTCTATAAAATTACATGTTTTTCTTTCTTTAAGTTAGGTTACAAAAATCTATTAAACAATATTATATGATCATAGATAAATAAAAAAAATTATGATACGTCTTGCAATTTGTTGGCAAAGCATTGCTAGAAACGTTCAGATCTACAAGACTGTCACTCGTGATGTAAGGATGGTCTGCTGTAAACCATCTTTCTTCTGGATTATTATTATAATCAAAAAGAAGCGCTAAGCCACAAGGACTATACAGCGCTGCTCTTTCATCTGGAGGTTGTTTACATAGTGATCCTCACTATGTAAACTACGCCAAATGGTTAGTGTCTGTACACCTTCCTATACAATCATGCTAACTTATGAAGGTGCTAAATCCGCAAGAGTCATATTATTACTAGTACCATCATAACTAAGTGCTAAACCCGAAAAAGTCATACAACGCTGCAACGTAAGTCAGGGAACTCATGAGAAGCGAGAAGTAATCAAGCTTGATCCAAGGGAGGATAAGTAGCTCCAGTTCCTTGGATGAAGAGTCCTTCACCTACATCATGTTAACTTCTTCCCCCCACCTAGAAGAATCTGCTAAGATAACATGTCTAATTAATTTTCAAGAATAAACGTTCTGTTCATAAAAGCACGTTAACTATTATTAGTTTTTACCATTATTTACACTTTCAATTTTGTTAATACTTCTTTACTGGTAGACCATTTAAAAACTTCTTCATTTGCCCTTCATTTATTTAGTATAAGTCTCTAAATCTAGAACTTCCAAGATTTCATTTCTTCTAGCACATTACATAAACTTAGATTGACGGAGCTTAACTTATTCAACTTAGTCATAATTGGAATGTGACTGACAATTGAATCAGTAAGAAAATACATTTTCAATGTTTGATTTGAAACACATTGGTAACCATCGAGAACTTATGAGTTTGGAACACAAACAGTTGATGATATTAACAATTTTGCCAACATTAATTATAATCGTAGCAGTCTTAACAGATTGTTACGATTATAATTATCTTCTGCTATTCTGACTATTTTAGTTGTATTACAAGAATCAAGGCAAGAAAAATAATTCTAGGTACGTTTTTCATGTTCCACAAACTATTTTACAATTTGTTCGAAGCTAAAATATCTATGCAGTGTGTGATGGAGATGCTGGGTTCTTAGTAACACTTTGTGCGAAGTGACACACTTTTCATAGAAGAGGCTTCTACCCCCTTGGCACAAACCATCAAACACCTAGTTATATTTTTTAATATTATTTTTATATATCTCTGGTGAGCACTAAACCTTTATGGATCATACAGCGCCAGTGGAATGAGATTTAATAGGATGTGATCCCATATAGGTATATTTTGTCCAGGTTAGGTAATGTTCGTCAGGATACAGGACAAGTGTTTCCTGACGCGGGTCTTAGATGATGACCCGCCGTTTGAGCTATCGGTCATCTGACCGAGGCCTTCCGCTGGCTTACCGGTCCACCCCTTTAAAAATTATGGTCATATTTATAACCATTTTTTTCTATATTTTGTCCAGACACAGATAAATACGCTGGGAGGAGCTCTGAGCTACATTTCCAATCTAATAACCTACAGCTATTCAAACGCCCAAAACTCATTACGTGATGTGGCTGCTCTTCAAGTTCTCCATCAAGCCAAAGAAAAACCTTTACTTTTCGTTTCAGGCCAAAGCCAGAACGGGCATTGTGACCCGGGCTGAGGTGGGGTTGCTGGTGTGGTCGAGAGAGGAAGACGGTGGCAGGAGCAGTGTGGGCTCGCGCCTCAAAACTCCTTCATTCCCAGTCTGGGTTACACGATGTAAGGACATGTATGGCATCCTCTTTAACCCTAACAAGGAGCTCACTCGGGATTACCATGCTGAGAACAGGTTTGTGTGTTGAGGTAGGCGTGTCTGTGTGTGTGTGTGTGTGTGTGTGTGACTGAAGTTGTGTATGAGTGGAGGCGTGTATGTGGGGAGAGCGATCTTAAATATATGGGGACATGTGTATGCGAAGCTAGGCGTGTGTGATATATTGTAAGGGAGTTGGAGATGGAGTCCCATCTTCTGATATAAACGAATCCAATACATTTTACAAAAAAAGTTAATAGCTTTGACACAATTTCTTTTGATTTCACATCATCTATTACCTCTATTCGTGAAAAAATCCCTACTACGTTGCTTGTCTACTCATTTTTTTATGCCACCGCATAAATGGATCCGAGTAGCGCACTTCAGATAATATGGAAGACAAGAGAAACGTTGAAGAGTAAGCTTTAATTTGGATCAAGTTTTCCTCTGTTAGAGCTTTATCAACTGAGGATTTGATGGAACTCTGACACTGCGAGAAGATATCTCATTAAAGTCTTGTCTTGCACACTTTGCATTTTCTTCAACCCATCTACAATGCTTTAATGCTTTTTTTTAATAATTACAATTCTTGGATTAAGAGTCATAGATACACTAAAACATTCTGAAATTTCAGATTCGACCTCCACTACTACTCCGCTAATCCCAACCAGACTACAGCAACTATAATTACCATCGACACTCGCAGTCAAACTACCAGAGACGAGTACCACTCCCCACCTCTGGAAACCTGATTCATACCAAGTACGTATTATTGGTACCACACACTGTCCCCTCAAGAGTCCACTCGGTCATTGATCGTTCCAGGAAACTGAATCATATTCTCAGCTCGGCTGCGGCCTGCAACAGAAACTTTACCTCCAGATACAAAGAACTTGGTGTACTGTGCGTACGCGCACGCACACTCACGCACACACACACGCACGCACACACGCACGCACACACACGCACACACACACACACACACACACACACACACACACACACACACACACACACACACACACACCACACACACACCACACACACACTTTTCTTTGGAATAATAGTGGTAGAATTACCGACAATATGTTAGGTAAAAGGACACAAGCGCAACCAATGTGACGTTTTAATGTGGCAGCATTTCGCTCTCCAAGAGCGAAATGCTGGAGAGCGAAACGTTGCCACATTAGTTGCACTTGTGTCCTTTTATCTACTTTTTAAGTATATTCACATAAAGAAACAAACTTTTTATGAACCAGCATCACCTGCACATCATTGTTAACATGGAAGGACTGCAGACTGAGTGCAATAATCTAAGAGCGTTCTTATCATGAATTTCCAAGAATCTCCGGATTTATCCATGATCGATGGTTGATTTTAACTATATTTAATTTCTTTATTTCGACCCCCACTTCCTGACTAATTGGTACATTGCCATTAATATCAGTGAAGAATTAAATCTATAATAAGCAGATAAACAAAGAAAATTAAGGGGAAAAAATCGAGAAATGAAAGCTGAAAACGAGGCCAAAGAGAAGAGAAGAACCTATAAAACAAAGTGGCTGTGATGAGATAAAATAATGTATAATAAACTAAATATCGACTTAAAATCGACTAACAATATTAAACAGAGCTCTAAGATGTTGAGATTAGATGAGCGTACGCCGAAGAATCGTTGGTATCAGGCTGACGTTGATGGTATAAAGTTGCGTATTGGTATCGGCCAAAATTTTTGGTATCGTCCCATCACTAGTTGAGACTGATCAAATGTAGATCAAGTGTGAGTATTGCGAGGACATGAATGAGAAAAAAATCAGTTAAAAATAGATATTTTTGTCATTTTATTAAAATTTATAATGAATAAGAAGGATGAGGAAATATTTTTTCCCTGATAAATCATACAGGAGAATTTAGCATAAACAGAGATTGTAGAAGGAATAGGAATAATAGGAAATTGCAAAAGGCAAAAATACAAAATACACGAAAAGACGAACTAATTTTCCCAATAGTTTTTAATCTCGAATCAAAGTCATCCGAAGAACACTTTACAAGGGTTAAAACAATGCCTCAAAAAAGGTATTGAAACCTACTTGATGAACCCGCTTGTGTCCTATTGCTGAAAACTAATCTCTCTTGATTACGGGAGATAAAATAACTGATAGAATATATTCTTATTTGTAAGTTTAAACACACGGAACGCAACTCGCTCTTTAAATTGGAAACCAATTTAAAAACCCTATGGTGTATGCTACACTGGCAAATTTCTAAAAAAAATCAAATTAACGGATGAAATATTTAAAATATTCACAATATATGGAATAACAATTCGAGAACGAATTTGTATTATGGTGTCTACACGAAAACTGCATTAAAAATAGGCTCCAAAATACAAAAAGAGAGCTCTCAGCGTTAATTAGAAAATAAGAGCTCTACGTATAGTGGTTGTACAAAATAATATGAACACGTTGTTCTTTAACATTTTTTATTTTCAGTTTGGAGTTGGTTCTCCATTTGAAGCTAAAACAGCGCCAGTTCGTCGAGGAATTGATTCATATTGCATTTGAATAGTATCCAGGGGAATTTTGCGCCATTCTTCAAGCAAAACCTGCTCTAACTCTTCCAAAGACAACGCTAGAGGAAACTACTTCCCGACTCGCTGTTACAACTGACCCCACTGATGCTCAATATTTAGATCCGGAGATTATGGAAGGGGGGGGGGGAGGCGGGACAATCCTAGTGTTCTACTTCACTTTCATGTTCTTCAAGCCAATTTTGAACTGTGGCGGTGTGAATTCGAATATAGAACGAAAAGGAACCTGTAACACATTTGTATTGATTATTCAGTCATTCGACAGTTCATTCAGCAAAACATGCAAAACAAACTTGTTTCCAGGTCTTCAGCAATGTTAACACGGTAGTTCTTGTCTTGCAGGTGGCAAGGGGCCGAAGTCAATTGGAACGGGTCGGCGCCTTATGTCTAGATTGTAACGCTATGCAGGATCCTGAAGTGTTCTTGCTGCAGAGGTTTGGGGCATGAGGCTTTCTTCATGCAGGAGCCCAATGTCAGCCAGCGTCCTCTGGGCCTCAAGCCTGTAACATCATCCTCCGGCATCCTCGACTTCTGCAACGTCTTCCTGCATCCCCAAAATTATCTCATACTTTTTCTGTATTGTTTCGATATAATAATGCTTTGAAAAATCTTGTATTATGTTTCACGAAGCACTTCTTACAGAATAACAATAAAGGGTATATGAACAGCGACAGATTATACGTAAAAGGACACTAACATTTTTTAACTCATTCTTGAAGGCAACGTTTTCCTCTACTAGAGGTATTTTTAAGTCAGTAGACAAAAATGAAGAGAACAATATTTAACGGCAGGAGAAAGTAGAGTGGGGTGCAGTATTAGAGATAAGGTTCAATTTGATGTCTGGTCACGACGAGATGTTGTGCTCAGTATCTTTTTGCAGAGGCTTGGCGAAGTGAAAACTTCCGTGAATTTTTATCTCTGATGTTGGAAGTTGTGATGTCTCTAAACACTTTCTCTTTGAATTTATTACTCTTTGTTGACTCGTTTGGCTAATGCTCATTGCATCAAGCGGGCATGTAAATTATGATATTCAACTCGAGCATTATCAAGATTGATCGAGAAGTACATTTGTGGTTGTTTATTCGCACTGACAGGCTCCTGCCAGTTTTTACAACGTACAATTCTATCACATGCTCTACAAGGAATTTCATATATCCTAAAATTAGCATTCTTTTCTTGACTGTACGTTTAATATTTTTATGTCTTGTGAGTTTCAGTATATTTTGCTTCCTGCATAGTTAATAAAATTTATGATTTTGATCGGCACCTTACCTACGTATATGTCAAAGTTGCTCTCGATTTTGGTTGTGATGAGTGTCTTTGTGGCTTTCCTTCTGCAATCTCATATAAATACTGTGGGCTGCTAGCGTAATATAAAAAAGAATGTCACTGATATTGTTACACCCTTTTAGGAATTATTGGTTGTGAATTCTAAAGGCACGCAGGAAAGATCCAAGAATCATCTTTTTTTCTTTTTAAGATTCGTTGTGTGACCAATGGAGTATAAGGTCAATTATGATGGTTGGCATATAATAGACTTGAAAAAGAACTTGAACCTGGAATTGAAGGTATTCATACTCGGTTTAAGGAATTGGAGCACAGGTCCAATTCCTTTGATCAAGAGACCCCTCACCCCTCCTGAGGGGGTCATGGATGAGATACGTCGATGTCATCATCGTAGCTCCTGAAAATCTTTATTTAAGTACGTCTTCTTCACACCTTAAACAGTACTCAACCCTCAGAATAATTCACCTTAGAAAAGCAGTTGAGCAGCACACTCCCGCATCTTGCTTTTCTTATCTACAAACTACAGATGTCTTATCTTTTCAAGTCTTTCGTAAACCAACCATCACAAGTGACCTCACACACTATTGTTCACACCACGACACCAAAAGAAAAAGACGTATCCTGATCGGTTTTGTTTTGTGCTTGGCTATAGGATAACCAGTCCAGATTTTCTTGAACAGGAATGTAACAAAGACATAGTATTGAAATTATTCTGTCTTACATTATACATACAAGGCTGCAGGAGGAATAACACAAAGATACCCAATGCACCCAAAACCAGGAACAATAGTGACCTTTACATAATGTTAACCAAGGGTAATGTGCCGATATCACAAAGTTACTAAAACTCGCCGGTAGCAAAGTATGAGTCATTACTTCATCCACTAAAAGGGAACTCGCAACGCACAACAGCAGTCAAACAACAACCAAAACACAAATTGCTGGTATGTATAAAATTCCTTTTTTAAGAAGTGACAAAATATATTTCGAGGAAACCCAAAAATCTATCACCGCGCATAAATGAACATAGAAAAGATTCTAGAACAGATCAACCAATCAGTACAGAAGGTGACAAATTTATGAAAAGTGTTTAGAAATTTTCCTTATGACAGCTTTCAACACTATTGCTCATAACAAATTAAGTCTTGGCTTTAGCCAAGCAACTGACATAATAATTGTTGGGCAAAGTATATCGTCGTGGCCAACCATCAAATTGAATCCTGAACATTAAAATGGTATAAAATACCGACAGATTGTTAGGTAAGACACATATGCAACAGTTAGGTATCTTTATTTCGAATACGTTTCGTCTACACAGTATAGGCTTCTCAGTCGAGTACAGAAAAGTTGAAGAAGCACGAATACTTGAAGACGATGTAATCAGTCCATCACCCTTAAAGTTTTGAGGTGGTCAGTCCCTCAGTCTGGAGAAGAGCATTGTTCCGTTGTCTGAAACAATATGAAGTTGAAGTGCACAAGAAGGGACTTTATATAGTGCCACAGGATGGTGATGTAAATCTGTTAGTCAAAAACAGGTTAAATTATGGGAAGGGAAAAGGTCCTCTCAAAACCCATCGTTCAGAGTAAGAGTTGACAAAGTTAAATGTTTCTCAGTACAAATATCCTATGTTTGCAGTTGTCTTACCTAACAAATTGATATTCATTATCTCTACTACCACACTTAATCCGCTCACCTGACGTCCTTTCCGTCTCTCTCTCTCTCTCTTTCAATATATATGTCGTGCCGAATAGGTAAAACTTGTGATTTTGGCTTAAATAGCAACGCTCTTCTTGCCGAATAAGGCAAGCGAAAATTTGTGTATGCAATAATTTCGCAAAAATCATTTGAACTTAATGAAAAAAATATATATTTCATTGTGCTTGTTTATTAAATTATTGCATATTTATCTAAAATACATTTAGTTGGATTAGGTTGAATTAAACTGGGCTTGCTACAAGACAAGTTTTCTAACGTTCTTTTGGTACAAAATTATTAATTTTTACATTACCATAAATGAAAAATATACGTATATCTTTAAACGTAAAAGAGAAATTTTTAGAAAGGACTTAATTTTGAATGAGTTCTTGCTATTGACCAATTTCACCTATTCGGCATATATATATTATTATATATATATATATATATATATATATATATATATATATATATATATATTATATATATATATATATATATATTATATAATATATATATAATATATATATATATATATATATATATATATATATATATATATATATATGTTGCTTTCCCTAGGTTTCTCCATTGACTTGGAAAAGTCCGTTGTACTTGGGAAACGTCCTTTAATCAAATTTTTTCAACAGCACTTTGAGTCTTTTTCATTTACTTCCAGTATTTACAAAGAACTGTCATATGCCTTTTATCTGTAAAAATTGCATCCTCTTAGTTACTGATTGACCCTTGTGTGTATAACTTCTCAATTTACTTTACGGTTGACCTTCAGGAATAAGCACTAACTTCAACCTCAAGTGTATCGCCTCTTAACGCGCCTTTCTTTGGTACTTGCAATATTTTTTTCTCGAAAAGACATTATGATTAATAGTTAATGTTATTTCCATTTTTTTTTCAAAATCTTTTAACTGTGGCTGCGGATTACTATATTCTAAGTCATCTGGTTCCTCTCCTCGTTGACTCTACAACTAGGCTTCTACGTTTGTAGCCTCATTTGTAAGCCTTAGCGGCAGTTGGCTACTCTTCCAATTTCTCTTTTCTACTAGGAAGTATCTCATGTAGCTCCTCAAATGGGTCCTGCTTTAGCCATCTTTCCTTCCCTTCTCATTTTTTTGGACATCTTTGCGTCCTCTGTCGAGTCAAATGTTCCTTCCCTTCTCATCATCTGCTGAGTGCCAACCCATCACGCCTGCTGGCTGTTTTTCAGTGGTCAGTACTACAACCCCCGTTTGATACATTATTCTCATTACTCTAGAATGCACATTCGAACCAACGTTATGAACAGATCTAGACTCCTACGTTATGAGTCTTAGGATTTTATGCTATGATCATTGCTTCAAGAACGCTCTTAAGTATAGATTTGGAATCTAAAAATAGTGTGTTTTCTTTTTGCTACAAATTAAGTAGGCAGAATATATGGTGTAAAATGAAAAGTAAAATGTAAAGGAGGATTGTAGAATCGTGTAAAGTTTTGTGTGATTGATGAAAAAGTTAAATGCTATTTGAGCAGTTACACGTAGTCTTAAATAGGAAAAGGCTGCACAGCAGTAAGCTTCAGTGGGATGCTTATTAAGCTTAATTACATTAGAAGTAATGAAAACGTTTTATGATAAACTTGCGTATCCCCTCAATCATCAGTCCTGCACAAGTACGAAAGGAATTATTCTTGTTCCCAGATTCAATGATTTTGAAATATATCTAGAAATTGACACTAACAGCTTGCTGTCGCATTAGACAATAAGAAATACAAGTCTCTAAGTGATATGGAAAAGTTTTGCCACTGAATGTTGAAGTTTTTTTTTTTTGTCTTTTGTCGATGATCCCCAATTCTCTTCTCTCTCTACCCTGGACATACAAGTTTTCGTATATCTCTCTCTGGACAGCCACCATACGATTCTCTGGTGAATTAATCATAAAAGATGGCGTTATGAGGCCGGTTATCACAGCTAAGACGTAAGGAACAGAATTATATTCGAGAGGTGAAAACCCCGTAAGTCACACAAAACCTGTCTAAATTAAGATAATCCAGTTTGAATCAAGGGTGAAAGTATCTAATATTATCCTTGGGTCGTGAGCCCTTGTATACTTGATATACAAAGGCGAAATTCCCTTTTTCTTGTATTTTTGGATTTTTTGTTTTTTTAGAAAATTCAGGCTGTTAATGCCGTAGACAGATATTCCCTAACTCTTTCTGTTACAATGATTTATGCAAGAGGTAAAAAGTCACTGTATTTGACTACTAAACATTTTTTTTTTAATATTCCCAATTGAAATCGTAAGACAATTTCATGAATAATGTAATTAATTTTGTTCAATTTTTGGACTGGAGAAGTGAAGGTTATGATTTTTAACATACATTTCTATGTGGTTACGAGCATTTTTATAACGATCATAACATTTAACCACTAATGAGAATTTTGAAAAATTGAATAATTTAGGTAGAAAACCCCAAACGGAAACACTACAAATAGAACGAAACGAAATAATATATAGTTATTTCTAGTTAAGATATAAAATTTAGTACCGAGTAACAATAGAAGTATACTCACAATGTCGAGAACTGAAATCAACACATTTAAAGAGCACCGATAAAACTTATGATTTCAGAAACTAATGAAGAAATACTTTAATGAATAAATTAATGAGGGAGTAATGTTATGTAAATTCCTTAATAATATAAGCCAAACACAGTCTTTAATATTACGCAGACAAACAATTAAAAAAAAAAATCTAAAAAATGTATTACTATTGCTTATCAGGTTTCCTATGCATTTTTCACTAGTAAACTATGGCAAATTATATTTTAGGGTAACTTTGGGAAATGGCTGAACAAATAAGTGGGTTGGAATGGTTAATTTTGAAAAGAACTTGCCTTGTATGGGCCAGCAGACCTGCTGCAGTGTTCCTCCATTCTTATGTTCTTAAAGAGATTACTTGATTATTCTTAGGTTTTTAACTCTAATTACTAGTTCTGTTTATATAAAGGTTTTCCTATGCATTTCTTAAGTGATCACCTATGGCAGGCAATTAACAGTGAAGGGTTAAACTGATTTTTCATTGTTATTAAGCTCAATGTTTCAGGTTCCGTATATATATATAGACGACAGAAATCTAAGGTCAAGCGAACTAGAACATTTATTAAAAATTTTTAGGTCACTGGAATTTAATGGGTGATGTAAGGCAAACAAATGTTACCCAATTTCAGAGTGAGATGGATGGGACACAGGAAGACCAGTTCAGTGAGACACATCTCACAAAAAAAAAAAAAAAATAGAAAAGAAATTTGAGGATAAAGTTCAAAAACTAATGCTGAAAGTTTTTTCTAATGGTGAAACTAGCTTGTGCATAGTAAGAAAGTCCACAATACTTCATGTCTCTCAGTACTGTACATAATCCAAATATTTCCTTATGGACTCAATGACATGAAAGCGGTAACCATTATTTTCAGAGAAATTAGTTATTTTATTTAATTCCAAATAAAAATTAGTATTAATATCTAACACACACACACACACACACACGCACCACAACACACACACATACATACACACACACACACACACACACACACACACACACACACACACACACACACACACACACACACACACACACACACACACACACACACACACACACCACACACACACACACACACACACACACATATTAAGGGGGACATGATAACGACATACAAAATACTGAGAGGAATTGACAAGGTGGACAAAGACAGGATGTTCCAGAGATTGGACACAGTAACAAGGGGACACAGTTGGAAGTTGAAGACACAGATGAATCACAGGGATGTTAGGATGTATTTTTTTCAGCCACAGAGTAGTCAGGAAGTGGAATAGTTTGGGAAGCGATGTAGTGGAGGCAGGATCCATACATAGCTTTAAGCAGAGGTATGATAAAGCTCACGGTTCAGGGAGAGTGACCTAGTGGCGACCAGTGAAGAGGCGGGGGCCAGGAGCTTGGACTCGACCCCTGCAACCTCAACTAGGTGAGCACACACACACACACACACACACACACACACACACACACACACACACACACACACACACACACACACACACATAAACACACACACACACACACACACACACACACACACACACACACACACACACACACACACACACACACACAACATATAATAATATATATATATATATATATATATATATATATATATATATATATATATATATATATATATATATATATATATATATATATATATATAATATATATATATATATATATATATATATATATATATATATATATATATACAATAAGATCACAGTAAACAGGTGATTTTAAAATATGCAAAACAACCACTGTGAAAGAGTAGTGAAATTCCAAGAGCTTTCGTGACTACTCACATTGTCAAGGAACTATCAATAGAACTATCATAGTTCCTTGCAATGTGAGTAGTCACGAAAGCGCTTGGAATTTCACTACTCTTTCACAGTGGTTGTTTTGCATATATATATATATATATATATATATATATATATATATATATATATATATATATA